AGTGTACTAAATGTCTATGTTTAGCAGTACAAAAAGTCATATTTATTTAAACTTTTTGGTCTGGACTTAAAAATCACATTAAGTGGCAAAGTTAAACATTTCAAACATATCCCAGCTGAGGCACTCATAAGAGAAGTGCAGAGCAGGAAGAGGCACAGTAGAAGAGCAGCACACCCCAAGCCCTTCACAGGTGCTAAATGTGCATAGGACAAGGGTGGCTGGTCACAGAGGGGAGGCAAAACCCTGTTGTGAGAGGACAGCAGGCACTGTGCTGTTCCTCAAAACTCCGCCCTCCTCACAAATCTCTTCAAAATATCTTTTCTGTAATAACAAATCATGAGACAATTACGTTTCTGGACTGTTACATGAATGCTAAATCCCCTGACAAGCCGATGAGTACCTCGTGGGAAATACTTAGGAGCATTACTGAAAGAAAAGGTGAAACACTTGATGCAACAGGAAATTTTATTAGTTTTTAACAGGATTTAGAAGTTCTTCCTTCCATGGAAGCTGGTAAGTGTCCCACTAAGTTTAACTGAATTGGACTCCAGACAGAATAACCAAAGCTTTTCATTATTTCTTTTCTAGGGGACAGAAATAAAATAGTTCTTTCCCACTTTAATTCAGCTCAGTACTTTATTGATTGGTCTGCTCATTCTGAAGCAGAGTCCACTTCTGTTTTCCTCCTGCCATCACTCCCCACTCTTCTTCTCCAACCTCTGTCTCACTCTGCTGCTGATCAGAGACTGCCACTGCAGTAGCACCAGCACTGGTGGTGCTAAAGCTTGCTCAGCCCACGTTATTCCAGGATCAATTCCTGGAATAATTATATTCGTAAAGGCTTTTCTTTCTTAGGAACTTGAAAATATATTTTAATAATTGTTTAAAAATGCTGAGAGTTTCTACAGAGCATATTGTAGCCCATGAGGAAACTGAAACAAACTAACCTGCAGCAGAAAGCTTTATCCTTTTAAAATGAGTTGAGGACTGTCAAACTAAGTTTTATTAGCGCCGTCATGCCAGAGGGTTAGTAGGCAAGCACTCATGTGCTCCACGTCTCCTGAACTTTTCCTGAATACTTCTGGCACATCTTTGACTGTAAAGTTCAGAGACTTCCAAAAATACACCGCAGAGACACAGCTGCCCGCTGGCAGTGGCATCTGCCCGGGAAGGCAGCTCTGCTCCCTGCCGAGTGCACGGGGACAGCCGTGACCCCGGACAGGCTCGCAGGGCAGCTCTGTCATCTGGGCAAAAAGTCAAAGGAGCTGAGCCCTGGCATGGGCAGCAGCCCTGCAGAGCAGAGCTGGGAGCTATGTCTGGCCATGGCAGCCGCTGGGAGCCACGCTGCTCGCCTGGGGATGAGGTTGGACATGGCCAGATTTACCCACACACCCAGAAAATCCAATTCCCTCTTCAGACACGGGTGAGTCATAACGGGTGAGAAGCACAGCATCAAACCAGGCTCAGGAACAATGATCATTAGAATTGCTGTAGCATTGCTACACGAAACTCTGCATTCAACTGTGTAAAGCAGTAATGGAGATGAGCGGGAGAGAAAATGACATAAAATATAACTGAAGATTATGAAGGACTGCTTTCTCTGATTTTCAGTTCTGATGCCTAATACACATGGAAAAGTGATAGTGGACTCTTATTTTCCTACCAGACTTACAGATTTTGATGCTATTTCTGTAGTTTACTCAGTGGCTCTCCTAGACAGAGCCTCCTCAATGTTAACATTGCACAACATACTCATACAAGTTTTTTGGTTTTTACAGAAAACCTCTTCAGAGTAGGCAATGAGAAAATGCTTTAAAATCCAAGGACAAACTCAAATAATTCCAGTGAAAATATAAGAATTTTGGATTTTATTTCATATTTTTTCATACCTTCAAGGAAGTGATAAAGCTAATGGGCTCCAAAGGTACTGCCTACATTCATTACATTCATTTACTCTACTAAAAGAACAGTAGCATCAAATTATTTAAACACCATTAATTGAACACCATTCCTTCTTGCATACCTAAACAGTTCTGCACTTTAAATCTGTCTGCTGCCTGGCATACAGACATTTATCCATAAAGAAAGCAAGAGAACAAACAAGAAATTATTCTTATTTTGCATGTATCATATACTACAATCCTTTGAAGCCTATGCAAGTTAAAACTGCCTTCAGGTATCTTATGCACCTGAAAAAAAATAAAAAAAGCCAGCACATCACCCAACCCATATAAATCTAATTTTGTTTGTAGTATTTACCTGAGTCCTATTTTTTATGGACACAAATGCTATTAAAATAATATCATACTTTAATATATACATAATACATATTTTATATCTCACATAATATCTTAAATTACAAGCTTTTTTAGAGCATCATGGTGAGTCTTTCTTGTTCTCCATTGTTCTCATGTCCCCATAGCACTTGTTTCTCTACACCCCTTTTATGCCCCATCCCAAGAAACTGGATCAGCTAAAATTTTTCTTTTTAAACTGAAAATTCCTCAATTTCTGTTACACAGTAAACAACAGGCATAAGGAGATGATTTTATATGCATATTGCACAACAGCAGTAAAGACTCCACTGCTGAAGTACATTTTCATCTCCTTTCAGGGCATGCTGAGGCTGCTTTCTGCAGAGTATGTCTTGATGCTGAGGGCCGAGGAGGCAGCAGACTGAAAAGTTGAGTAATGAGCACTGCTGGCACCAGTGACAATTGTCTGAGTAAACAGTGCTTCACCAAGCCTGAGGGTCACACAAAACTTCAGACCTAAACATCCTTCTTTAAGTGTGAGACTGTTCAGAGCACAAGTTTATATGCAAGTCAAAATCCTGCAGGGGGAAGTGGGGAGACAAATTCCTGAGATAAGGAGCCTAATGAAGCATCAGTACCTGCTCTTATCTCAATCACATGGGCCTCCCCAAACACCTGACAGGTCAATCCTGTATCAGGTAGCAGCAAGGAAATTCTCTGAGTGATCTTCAGGTGTCATTTCCTTTCACAGGAAAAACTTGGGATTTCCATCTCCAGTCAAGCTCACTGGCAAAACCTAGGATGAGTTACTCTGAAAACCTCTGGAAAAACATACTCTCTAATTCATGCTGCTGTTCTACTGCACACATGTCCTTTAGAAGACAAGAATAGACTTGTGTCTGAATAAATTAAAAAGTTGAGAGTGCAGCCCTGTGCATTTGTGCAGCTGGTGAGTCAAAATGACAAGTTTCAGGAAACAGCATCCACATAAGCATGTAAATAGAGTTGTCCAAAATCTTGGCTCCATTGCTTCACCAGTCGTGTTTCACTGCTGATATGTGAGGGAGCCTATGGGCTTGGCTCACTGTACTTTTACTACTTCAAATCTAATCCCTTAATACACAATTAGGAAGGTGATGCATATTCACCAGCTTCAAGGGAGTCAGTCTGGATTTGCACACATGAAATTACCATTAGAACAATGGAAGAGTATGCACCTGCAAGAAATAAATTAAAAATGCTCTGACTTGTATTTAGCATCACTTTGAAGGTTACCTGGAAGAATCTCATGACTGAACACTCCTTTACCACCCTGAGTTTATCCAATGAACTTTCTTTCCAAGTTTTTCAGTATTAGTAATGTGAAGGACAACAGGCACAAGTTTGGAACACTGTAAGTATTCAAGAGACTAAAGAGACTGAATTATGAAGGAACATCAAGAAATCATGAACAAGCAAAAAAACAAACCAAGCAGGGCCACCAAGGTAAAAAAAAAAAATATTATAAAGCAACACAGCAACAGTTTCAGTATGAGTGCTCTGTTCTCAAACTAGATAGGATTACTATAGTGCACAAAAGTATAATTCACTGTTACAAAGAGTTACAAAATACAAAACAAAGGCTCACAGTTAGAAAATAATTCTTCCTCCTGAAATAACAGCTCAAAAAATAAGTTTCTGTGCTTAAGGCATTCATTACTGAACAAGAGAAAGCACTACAAAAATGTGCTGCAGCAAACACTTTTTCAAGAAAATGAGGTGGATTAGAGGGTTAAGATTTCTAATATTTCTGTTTTTCAAATTTTCTATATTAAAACACTTCATTATGACTGGATTCAAATACTGATTTGGCCTATTCCTTAAGTCAGGGGTCTCACAGTGACTTTTTGTGCCTGTGTGTATGTTTACACATGTACATAAAGAGACAGAATATTGTGTGTACATGGGTACATTAGGAAAAGAGAGAGATTTAGATACCTTCCTTACCTGAGGCAGAAAATATAAAGCATTCTGAATGCTCAAACACCTTGAACAGATATCTATCCTGTTGCTTGAGGGAATGAGACATAAAAGTTCCAAAAAACAAGTGAAGTTAATGAAAGAAAGCCAAATTCTCTGCTGCTGTAATTTCATTAGAGGTAAATGCAGCTGCCCCCACATACACAGCTGAGAAGTCTACTTTGAATGACGAAGACAGAAAAGGGAGTCAGTCCAAATGTGTGGTTTCAAACTGTATTTTTCACTGTCAGCACAAATTCTAATTGCAACACAAGGCAATTTCTACTCATTACACACTTCAGCATTGGGTTCTAAGTACATATTGCTCTGCATTTCATGGGTTTTAAATTAGCATCGCCAGGACTGCTCTGATACATATACTGACTACAGTGGAGGCCTTATTTTGAAGAAATGTACCATTTTCACTATGAGTCATTTTACTGCTTTTTCTCTTAACTTCTGTAAAAATAATTTAGAAAACTTAATTTACAGTTTTTTTCATTTTATAGCTGCTTTCAATACAGTAGTTCCTTCAAGTTGTGAAGCAAATTGTTCTTTGAAAGTACCAAACGACAATTTAACTAACCTTATAAAGTTTTACAGGAGCTGTTCACCAGGGCTGAAATCCATTCCAGGACACAGGCATCTCTGTATGTCTGTATGCAGCTTTGGGGTTTGCATTCTAGCAATAGAACTGACAGACTTGTTCACTCACAATAGCAAGAACTTAAAACCTCCACTCACAGGAGTACCTTCTGGCAACATGCACAGAATTAACTCAGTTACAGCATCTAAAGCCAGGACAAAGTGTTACTAACCCGTGAAAATTACATGTTTCCCAAGATTCAGCTTTGGAGATTGAGAACAACTGATCTATGAGATGTGTGCAGAAGACAGTCAAAGAGGGTTTTGGGGACAGGTGGCTAATGCCTCTTCAGCAGGCTGCAGGGATCATTTGATGAATATGAAGAACTGAATAGTGGTTGGCCACAGCTCCAGTCTTCCACCATCCAGAGGATGTCCCTAAAGGACAATTTCTCTGTTTTACAGAGCTAACAGTTACTACAAGATAAAGTAGCTATTATGAAAAGCAGACATTGCACTTAATGACTCAGATCTAGTCTGAACTCCTTAAGCTTTTCAGTCAAATTTAGCTCATTTTGAATTATTTTTTGTGTGTTGAGGCAGAGGCTAAATAGAGAAGTGAAAAGTGAACCTCAATTAATTTAGCATATGTCTCCTACCTACAACATTACTTAAGAAACATGGGCTAGAATTGGAATTTCTAACTCTTTGCTTCCAAATTAATACAGAAATTAAAACTTTTTTTCTCTTCATTTCTCTTTAGGCAATGAGCCCCTTTGCAGATTCCAGGCTAATAGTTATCCCTCCCTGCAGACTTGAACAAGACAACTAAATACCAAGGTTTGTGTCCTATTCCTGTCCTCAAAGATTCTCCCCTAGATACTTCCAGGTAATGTTTAAAGAAGCCTGATGATTTTTGGAGCATTTGTTTATTTGACAGGGTTACTCCAGCTCCCAGTCTGAGGTGCCTAACTCCCAAGAACAAGCACAGACACAAAGACACGGTGGCTTTGCATTCCCAGGAGACAGTCTCACAATATTTTTGCCAGGCATTTCAGCACATCATTCTGTATTAGCCCTCACTCTGCAATATTGCTTGCATGCAGTCCCTATCTAGTACACTGTGCATTCCAGTGTACAACATTCAGCAGGTAGATGAAGTTCATCCAATATATTAGTAAAACGTTTTCAGATAATGATGTCAGAGACCTCTGTATGGGATTGTGCCACTGCACATTAGCCATTACACAGTTTGCTACTGAGTGAGAAGAAACTACATTCTCAAATCACAGCCCATCAGTTACCATAGGTATCTGTCACTCACCTGCAATGATCCATCCTTTATCCTAGAGCAACGAAGCCTGGGAATGTGTAAATGTGTAAATATGTAAATATGAGGATGCTTGGCTGAGAATTTAATGTTGCTACAGAAAGTTAATTAAATCCATTCAGATATAAAATACATTCATTTTTGTTGATTTTAAGCTGAGCTACTAGTGCATACTAGTAAGAATACTTTGAACACATATTCTAAGTTCCTGTTCTTATTTCTTGCTCTAAGGGAAATACTTTATGGGTTTCTTTTTCTTTTTTTTAATTTAATGAGAGATATGTGTGCTTCCAGTGAGTGCTTAAATGCATTAAAACAGCCATGGTATGTGTCTACTGGGCTTACACAGTATGTAAACCAGACTATGAAAAGGGATGGTATTCCTACCCAGTGGTTAAAGGCACAAAAGAGCCATGGGAACCTTGCTCTGGCCTTTATTTTTGGCTTAGTAAAACAAACCCTAATTCTTTATTTGTCAAATTACTATCTGTTACAGTTTGAACTTTCCTCAAGCCTTACTCTCCTAATGAAGTTTAATCTGCCTCTGGCTTGAAGCAAAAGAGCATTGTGTGTTCATCTGTAGGCAGTGTGAATGCGGTTTTGCAGAAAAGGAAGTTCTCTGAATGTTGGGGGCTAAAATCAATGGAAAATGGAAACCAGCCTATTGCCCTTGTTTGTCCAGCTGTCAATTTTTACTCTTATAAAGTAGAGAGTATTTCTTTACAACCTCATTAGTTTTTCCTAAGCAAACTGACAATACCATTCACTGTTCTGTGACTGGAATTTCCATAATTTATGCAGTTCTTCTGTGAGAAATACTCTGAAACTTGTGTGCAGAGAAACGAACATTTCAGCAATGTGTTCAGGGGTTCAAGAATCTCTTCTACTTTATTTTACATTTCAACTTGGACAGGGAACTAGATACAGAAGGGAGAAAATGTGAATCAAATTGAAGGAGACGGCATGTGTGAAAAATTGTAAGGGCGATGCATATTTTAGCCAAGCAAAATAGTATGTAGTATCTTAAGGAGCTTGGAAATAAATAACAGCATGTTTTATAGAAAGAGAATGACATTATACAGAGATTGGTTTTCCAAAATCCTTCTAGATACTATTTTAAAAGCAGATAAATTGAGGATGAGGAAGTTCCTTTTTACACGAGGCCATCTACGATTTCACATGTGAACTTTACATTAGGCTTGTGTGTGAAGACATCAGATCATCTTTCTAACCTCTGCTTTTCTCATGTGTGAAAACTTCTTGGATGCAGTGCCCTGGTTAAGATTCAGCAGGTCAAGCTATGAACAGGCAGCAAGATCAGAGCAGTAAGAATAACTTAGCACCTATTGCAAGCTCTGGATATTGACTGTATAATCCAACTCAACCTGGCCAGGCTGGCATTTGGGTTTTACTTTTCCCTTCCACTAAAGGTTTAATATGCTGGGAAAAATGGTCCTAGTCTCAGTCTGTTTCCAATGATGATGATGACGATGATGATGATGATGATGATGATGATTGAAAAAAGGCAGCTTTAATCAGCTACATATGAGAAATATTTAATTATCTACAGGAGAGACAGTAATGAATTATTGTTTCTCATCCACCCCCATGTTTTTCTCACTGACTAACATAAGCATTAGCACTGCTCTACTGAAAACAAGAGTATTCTGCTTTTAATTTTGCCTTTTCTTCTCAACTGTAGTGCAACGTTCTCTCAATTAGGAAAATTAAATATTTTCAAATATGAAAATATTAACAGACTGTACAAGACAGAACAACTACAGAGAAGGTTTGTTCCTTCAACCTTTGTCTGAACTTGTAAATTACTGGCTTGTTTTTGTGGTAGTCACTTAACATGCCTCATTTCAATTGCTGCCAGTTGTCATAAGACAACAAAGTACACAAAAATCTTTAATTCTGCTTCCACCAGACAAACCTCAAAAAAGGCTCGAGTGCAGTTGTGTCGGATAGCGGCTGAAGAGAAAAGCAGGAATAAACAATACTGTAAACCAACTCAGTCTCTATAAATAATACAAAGTGGCAATTACTGGCATGGGCAGTGAGGAAGGGACAGTAGCAAACATGTGTCCTTTCCATCATTGCCAAGAGGAGCAGCAAGGCCTGTCCCAAGCCATGGAAATGCCACCTTGCTAATGCAAAACCACATCCATGGCCCTGAAACTCTGAACTGGGTAAACGCTTCATGCTGCAGTTTGGACATCTAAAAAAAACCTGTAAAAACACAGAAACTGATTTTAATCTATTCTGTTTTCATTCTAGCATTCATTAGAAAATTGAATACTTTCTTAGAATGAAAGACATCATTGAACACTGTCATGTGGTCGTTACTGCACACCCTCTTCTGGTGTGGAGACTGATTAAATGTAGATTTCTCATTGAAATACTGCAACCACTGGAAAACATGATCATGATCCAAAATTCAGTAACATCACTGGACTTCAGAAAGGGTGTTTTTTTTTGTCCCCACAAAGAGAAATGTCTTTTAACTGTTTCCTTTTGTTTTGCCAAAACCAAATAGAAACATGTAAGACAGAAAAATACTGCTGCAATACAAATGATATGCTGGGCAAAAACCCTGTGGACCATTTTGAAATTAAAATGCATCTGACATGAATATGGATTTTTTTTTTTAAGTTTTGTGCCATAAGGCTTTGTAATACACAATTCTGTAATATAATCTTACTTTAATTTCTGTGTAACATCCATAAAATTGAAATTGGAATGAAAGATTAAAGAAACATCCTTCCTGTATCCTTCTTCTAAGAGTCTCCTTTGGTTTTGGCATTTTGGCTTGCTTCTGTCTGAGGGCCTATTCTGCCTACACTATCCAGATTATGTTGGAGGAGCAGGTCCCCATGATTTTAGCCATGACTGACAGTAAAAAAATTATGAAAAAAATCAAACATCACCACTACCACCACCTCCTCTCCCCTCCCCCCCCAAAAAAAACCAACCAAAAAACATAATGAAAAAAAAAACAACTTTCAAGACTTATTCCTGTATTTTGGATCACCAATACATGTCACTATATAACCAAAACCATGCCAGGAGACTGTGCTATCTTGCCTGTGCTTAAATCCTAGGGTAGCATTCTTCTAGGGTGCGATATGCACATGGAATCAAAAAGTCTTAATCCTGTTAAGGACTACGGCCTACAAGCAGAGCAGCACTAAACCTGTTATTCCCTCTACCTTGCTTTCAGCCTCTTTTTTCACATACAGGAGGATACAAGGCAAAGGAGGAGTGGCAGCTGGGCAAACAAGCAGCATATTTTGCAGTGAACTTTGACTCCCAAATCCTAAGAAGTGTTTGTCGAAAAGAAAAATCTTCCTGGTACTCTCTATCAATAAATTAATCATCAAAGGACTTTTTTTTTTCCTAATTTAATTTTAAAAGAAAACACTTTTGTTTGTTCTTCTAAAAAAAAAAAAACCCTCAGCTCCTTTAGTCTTTTTTATCATTGGTATTTATTATAGTAGATAACAGCTGAGAGCCTTCAATCACAGAGCTTTTCAGGGCTGATGGAAGCATCAAGTTAATATTTTCAATAGCTCTGGGATCTGAACCTGGATCCTCAGGATTAAGGCAGATCAAATGAAAATGAATATCCCTTTACAGACAAAATCCACCTATCCTTTACCACACAGAGAATGACTTTGTCTGCAGAGAATCTTAAAAAGTGAATTGAGATTTATTCTATTTTATTGTTCATATAAAAGTGATTCTGGTATTGCCAAATGACACAATGCTTTGGCTTCCCCCAGTGACCAGAATTAATGTCCAAAATGTAAATTAATAGGGAACTAGTAAACAGACTTTTCCTTTTAAACTGTATATAGAAATTGATTTATGGGAAGGAATCAAAGTGTATCCTCAGAAAGTTATAGAGAAATTCCTCTAGAAATGGCTGGCAGGTGATTTCCTCATAATATTATCAAACTCAGTTTCAAGAATCACTCAACATCTGCCATGGGGACTCAAAGCACTCACATTTGTTCACATTCTCTGGGAAAAAAACCCCTCAACTGTTAGCTGACTCTAACAACATTGAGGCCAACAATATCCTCTTTTTTCTTCCCCAGATGGACACCAAAAGAACTTAATAGTCAGTAAGTATATACAAAGAGAGATATATAGTTCATACACAGTTTTAAAGTGGCTGAATTATGAATTATTACAATAGACACAGAGTCAGACTCTGCTCATTTTATATGCACAGGTGAACCTGGAGAGGGCTGAAGAGATGGTGAGCAGATACTGAAGTAAGCAACTCATCATTAGAATGACAAGATCACTTTCCAAGACTAAAAATAAGCCAAAGAAAGGATACAAGTTTCTGGGCCACATGGCTTCCATGGAGAGATGACAGAACTGAGTTTTTTCAGTTTTTAAAGACAAATGAAAAGAGGAAATCCTAGAATAACCATAGAATGGTTTGGGTGGTAAAAAGATCATCTAAAAAGATCATCTAATTTCACGTCCCCTGCCATAGGCTAAACCAGGCTGTTCAAAGCCTCATCCAACCTGGCCTGGAACATTTTCAGGGATGGGGAATTACTCTTCTCACTGATGTGTAAAATGATCTGCTGGAACGCTACTGGAACACTGATATTAAAGGGTGGGATTTCCACCACTGTAGCTGTGAAAGACTTAAGTGGACTTGTCTCAAATCAACCTGATCTAACCAGACCTGCTTTGAGCATGATGTTAGCTGGAGGTCCCTTCCAAGCTACAGGATTCCACAACTTTATTGCAGACAGGAACAACAGTGGGACTTTGATAAATAATGACAGTCAGAGACCAGTACAGGCTTGCAAAGAGGCTAAAGAAATCTTCCTTAAGTCTGTAAAGACTAATAATCAATAGTATTCTAATGAATTTGTCAAATATTTAAAACATTACAGTATAAACTACAGACTGAATAAGTTTAAGCTCAGAAGCTTTTATCATGTTTCTAATTTTTTCAGTGCTCGTTGTGTATGTGTGCACATACACCACTAAAGGGCAGAACTTGAGCATGTAATTTCAGGCACTCGACAGAAAATAGCTTGGACAAAAATTAGGATGCTA